GTTTTAATTACATTGCTTTTTATGATTTATACTCTTTGTTTTAAGAATAGAAAAGGGAAAAACAATTTTTAATGCAGATGTCTTACGTAACGTTATATATAAAAAATGTATATTTTATTGTACATAATGTTTAATGAAAATTATAAAAACATATACAAAAAGCTATTTAATTCAAAATATTCTCTTTTTTCTAGAATCGTTTTATCGAACAAAATTTGGTTTATTGAAATATTAATTTTTTTTTTTCTACTCTATCGCGAGAATAACATATATATATTCTAGACATATATATTACGTACAGTTATTTCATTAAAATAGCATATATTGATGTTTATAGTATATAAAGTAAATATTAAAAAAAAGATTAATACTTCAATAAACCGAATTTTGTTTGATAAAACGATTCTAGAAAAAAGATAATGTTTCAGATTAAATAGCTTTTTGTACATGTTTTTGTAATCTTCATTAAACATTATGTACAATAAAATATACATTTTTTTATATATAACGGACATTATCTCCCAACAATCGCATCCGTGTGCTCAACGTATCGCTGTGTGCCTTCACGGACGCTACACACATACGCGATGAAAGAGAGATAAAGACAGCGCAACCATCTCTCTTTGTCGAACGATCAGTGTACCACCAGCATCGACAATATCGAAAAGAGGATGTAGCACGGACATGAACCGAGACCGACAGTATCGAAAAGTGGACGTAGCATGGACATGAACTAATTGGTTGTTTTATCATGCCACCGAAAGTGGACGTGGCCATATAGTTCCAACTCTGCCGAAAATGGTCGATTAAAACTGATTACAACATAATCCGTTTTAATCGGTTTTAATCGGTTTTAATCGGTTCAATCCGCGCCAGGATTAAAAAGTAATCGATTTTAATTCCGAACGAACTATAATCGGTTTTAATATCGCTTTCGCGGATTATTTCCAATCTAAAATCATTACATTCAATGTCAATCCAAATAAACACGAATAATCGAATGGATATTGTGGCTGCCGTAGGTCGTCACATTAAGCACAATCCGCGATACAATAGTGCGACCCGCAACTTGGCGGCCCACGCGCTCGCGCGTCCGCGCATAGTTCCGAGCGGCGCCGCTACGCGGCGAAGGTACCTGGAAGTAGAAAGCGGTCAAGGGGGGATATAAGGCGGACCCTCTGCGGAGAATTCGTATATTTGTTTTTAACAACTGAGTTTCAATTACGGAAACACTGATTCAATAATTGATTGTGACTCATGATAACAGCAAATCCGACTTCACACTACATAAAATCAATTTACTTTCCATCTGCGAAATGATAAAATTTTTTATTAAAAGGGATTATTTTTACCTATGGATTGACTATGGTAAGTTCCAATTCAATTGCATTAAAACAGGTTTAATTATAACTTTATGAAATCGTATAATTTCGGATTGAGGTGGAGATATATCATCCAACATTAATCTCGCCTGAAGCGTACTAAATTCGATTTGACTATTTTCAATCGGTTTTAATACCGCATTTTCGGCGCAGAAATCCCGATCGATTCGGATTACATTTTTTTAAATCCGTTTTAATCGACCATTTTCGGCAGGGAAGCGTCTGTAAAATGGACGTAGAGGCGCTGCTGTACGGGACCGAAAGCTATCGTACGAAAAACGCAGGGATGGCCGCTCTCAGGGTGCCATTACATGAAGCGCGGATTAGCGTAACGCGGAACAAAAAGGGAACCAATCGCGAGCGTAACGAAAACTGCAGAATGCTTGCGATTTGTTCCATTCTCGTTCCGCGTTAAGCCCGAATCACACTAGCGGCTCGCGGCTGCGATTGCGATTGCGTTTGTCAGAAGCCAATCAGAACTCGCGCTGAAAATAAGCAGTACATTCTGCTTTTTTAGAGCGAGTTCTGATTGACCTCTGCTTTTCTGCTTTCTGCTTTTCTGCCAAGGTGTGAATCCGGCCTTAGGCTTCTCTCTGATAATACGTTTTATACGTTTTATACGTATTATACGTTTTTATACGTAGGAATCGTAGGAAACTGGCGACTCTCATTCTTCTCTCTGATATAGCTAATGCTGGGTCTATCTTTATATGTTTGTATATGCTATGGAGTAAACAGAAAAAAACAAGACACCAATATTAGCATTTAATTGTTTTACAATTCGTCAATAACGAAGTAGGAGAATAAGTAAGTGTATTAAAAAACACAACCAATCTCTAATTCACTATTCCGATATATCGAAAAGTATATATTGCTTTAAAAGTATTATATATATATTAAAAACTTTTAGAGAATGGCATAAATTTGACTATTTTCTTGTGTTCTTTGCAACTTTATACTTTGAAGTTCATCTTATTTTAGCAATCTTTAACATATTTTAAGAAATTTGTTTAAATTAGTTTACTTTGAACATAACCTTGTTATCCTATTATCTTGTTGAAGAGTTCACTGTTTACTTTTCTTGATAGTTATATTAATATATACTGTATTTAAAAATATTAAAATATTTTAAACATAAAAAATATTTATATATTAATATTTATATATAATAATTATTTCATTTTTCAATATCAGCTTTTATATTATTCCATGGAATAAAAACTTCAAAGCTTAACTGTAGATTTTTATAAATTGAATATATAAAATCTTTCTGGGTTAGGATACTTTATAATACTTTAATATTAATAATTTATATCTTTAGCCACATTTTTTATTTATATATTTATGTATATATACATACATACATGAATACCTATTTATCAAATGTTTTGAAGGTCTATTAAAGTGATAATAATGTGTAACAAGGATTACTTGTTTCATGCATAAAATATAGAGGCTCTTTTAGTGTCTGTAAATCTAAAACAAGTTGCGCAAAACTGGGCCTATTATGTGGCACTGTATTCCAACAAGAACACATAATGTTATATATATCATGAGAAACAATATTAGGACAGGCTAGACGACATTTATCTTGAATTAAATAACGCATCAAATCATCATTTTGTATATTAGCATATGGAAAAGAACCTAGAGTTCCAATCTCCCAAAGAATAACACCGAATGACCAGACATCACTTTTGGAAGAAAAAGCATGATCGCGTATAGCTTCCGGTGACATCCAACGTATTGGGAGTTGGCAAACTTTTCCCACCATATGGTTTATCACATATATTCCATTTCGAGACAAGCCAAAATCAGAAACCTATATCCAATAAATTCTTAAAGTTTTCCAAGCCAATGTTTTTAATAATTGTATTATAGAATCTACTACCTTAAGCGTTAGATCTGAAGCGAGGAGGATATTTCTTGCTGCTAAATCCCTATGTGTGATTCCTTTACCTTCTAAATGCTCCATTCCTCTTGCAATATCAAGTGCAAATTTTATAAATTGTTGCCTCTTAATTTCACCACATAAATCTTCATCCTTTTTTTTGTTTTTTTCAATAACATTTACATATCTAGTCTTTTCAAAACAGTACCAAGATAAATCATCCAATTCAACTCTTCTTCTAGAATGCAGATATGCGAGCAAATTTCCACCTTCCATGTACTCTAAAAGTATACATATAGGATTATCTGGTAAAGTGCAGCAACCTATAAGGCTCACCAAATGCGGGTGAGAACCAGCTGCTTTCATTATTTTGATTTCTTCCAATAGTTGATGTCTAGCTTCAGGTTCATTGGATGTGTCAGAACATTGCAACATTTTAACAGCTACTAATGTATCTTCATCATTATTCAAGCTGCCTAAATATACTCTGCCAAACTGTCCTTTTCCTAATTCATATATAAGATTTATATATTTGTATGGCACTTCAAATTTATCATTTTGTGTTTTGCAACAATTTTCCTGCAATAAGTTTCATTTGAAATTTCAAATATATCTGTAATGATTTGATATTTCTTCATTTACCTCTAAATTTTGTTCGACATATGTACCAATATTATTCTGGGAAACTAAATTTGGCCATTGAGTCAACTTATAAGCAGAAAATCCAGGAATAGTTTGTTTCCTATCATTCAAAAATATACATATAAGCGTATAATATATTGATAAGATAAAAAAAAAATAGTTTGACAATTTGCTACTTTACTGTCTAAATGGCCATTCCAATTGATATTCAGTTTTATTACGTATCGACACAATGCTGATAAATCCTAATATAACACACATAGTAACACCAGCAAGCAATAGCCACTGCAACATAATTATTACACACATTAATTTCATACTTACATATTAATTGTCAATGCATATTTTTTGAAAAGATATGTACAACGATATTGCCATTTAATGTTTTAATTTTGTCTATATTAATAACAGTAAAACTGCCTTGAGTTCCTGAACAACCTCGGTAATCTAGTGCTTCCACTAATATTTTGTATCCATTTTCGATTTTTACATACTGATTATTAATCTTCAAATCCCAATTAAAAGTATTTTTTGTAGAGGTCACATTACCTATCTTTGTAATATTGTATATAAAATACCCTGCTTTTGACGTCGATAGTGGTATGCCAATACTGGAATATTATATTATATTATATTACATATGATATAAAACGTACAACAAAACAATACGAGAATCAAACAATTAGATGAAATCAAAAAATCTTACCTTATAATGTAGGAATGAACGTAAGAACTATTTGACGTAATATTCCAATTTATAACAACATTTTTTTTCGTTTGAATTACTTTTACTTTTGGAATAGGCAAGGTCATTTTTGCATCCATGCAACTGCATTTACGATTTATACATTTTGGAACTGTATAAATGACCTACACAATACAATACATATTTTTTGGAAACATGTTTACACATTGTATATATGTGTGTTTAATCTTACTTCGGGCAACTTTCCTACAGGTTTAGCTCTTGGATTGGCATATACTTGTATCTTATACGTACAATTCGGACGTATTTGTATTTCCGGCATATCATTCAATAATTTATTCTGCGGCACTAATAAGCTAAATGGACTTTTATTTTGTACATTATAGAATGCAGAACTTTCTATACATTCTTTCTTATTTATATCGGTTACTTTTGGAATACATGTAATTATAATGCTATAATATATAAACATTTTAATGTATGTAATGATTGAAATATTTAAATTATCCTTAGAGATAACAATACTTATTTACCTGTATGAAGAAGGTTGTTTTCCCTTATTTGGTGGCATCCAGGATATATTCAATTTTAATGACTTGAGCATATTGTCACTTTGAAGATTATTTTCATCTTTTATAGCATACACTGTAATATTTTCCACAATGCCAGTAAATCTCATTGCATTTGTTGTACATATTGTATCAAAACATAAAAACGATATAATAACCATATTATATATTAAAACCCATTTGCACTGTGCAAACATTTCATGTTATAATAGAAACCATTATATAAACGAACAATTTAGATATTATATATTTTATTTTATTACTATATATATACAATACTTCGTTTTTGTTGAAATTTATGGAGCAACAAGATGTCTACTTCATTTAATAAGAAATACTATGTCTTATTTCAATTTCGAAGTCTAAATAAAATTATCTCTCTGGTTAAACTTATCTGAGTAACACTTATCTGATAATTTTACTTTAAGTGCTTAAGAATCTTACAAATGCTTATGATAAAGTGATAAATATAATCAGGAATCTTTACTGTAAATATCATATTGTTTGACGAATTAATAATTAAAAACTATATAAATTGTTGAATGTAAGGATAATTTTTAAGAGAATTATTAATTCCCAATTAAATAATGACCACAAGTAACGAAAGTATCAGATTTATTCGCATTAATAATAAAAAAATTAATACATATACGTATATATATGTACACATACATTCATACACACATACATACATTTTATATATATATATAATACAACTAAATTTTATATATCCTACATTCTCGTAAAATAATTTGATATAGATTCTTCCGAAAACTTTAAAAAATGTCTTATATTTATATTTTCCAGGAACCAAATGGCCTCGGCTACGATGTCGCCAACTGATGATGACGAGCTCACTCTTCCTCGTGCATCAATTAACAAAATAATCAAGGAAATCTTACCCCATGTGCGAGTTGCAAATGAATCAAGGGAGCTCATCCTGAACTGTTGTACAGAATTCATTCATTTATTGTCTTCCGAGGCGAATGAAATCTGTAATCAGCAACAGAAGAAAACTATAAATGCAGAACACGTTCTGCAAGCACTTGAAAAATTAGGTTTTGGCGATTACAATGCGGAAGCGGAAGCTGTATTACGAGACTGCAAAGCTGTAGCGGCTAAAAGAAGGCGTCAAAGTACTAGATTAGAAAATTTAGGAATTCCAGAAGAGGAATTATTACGACAACAACAAGAACTATTTGCTAAAGCAAGAGAGGAACAAGCAGTTGCAGAGCAGCAACAATGGCAGCAATTACAGGCTGTTGCACAAATGGCATCAATGCAGCAAGTTGACAGTGAACAGGAAGATTATTCATAAAATTCAAAGACGACAAAATTTATATTTAAAAACAGTTCCGTGCGTACGCGCATACAATCTTGTACTTCAAGAGAAAAATATTTCTAATATATCGAACAAAACATTGATGATAAGAAAATCGATACAGATGAAAATAATAGTTAATAATAATTAAAAAATATTGAATTAAAAAACGATGTTAAATGTAAATTCCATAATTCATAAGAGTGAATTCTATATTGCACTCGTATTTTAAGTACTTTAATTTTATTATCATAATTTATAAAAACAATGTATCATATAATAAAGCGAATTATACCTTTATTTCTTTTATGTAAACAGCTTTTTTAAGTTCAAGGCATTAGTCTTCCATATTCAGAAGATAGATGGCTTTTCTTTATTGCCTCCATGACTTTTGAAACATAATGGTACCTATCAATATATAATAACATCTATATTTCATTATATATAATTAATTACAAAAAGTTAGACTTTTGTGTATTCTGTACTTATCAATAAATTAGCTTGCCTATCTGACTTTGGTACTCATAATATTTTAAATGTTAAAGTTTAGGAAATTACAAAGAAAATCAAGGATAGATAAGAAAATTTATTCTTAAGTCGAGTACGATAATTTGACTAAAATACAGGATACTAAATTTAGAATATTATTTGATTTACCAGTTTTTTTCTGTTAATACAGACGGCGTCATTGGGTTCCTAGTAACTCCATGTATTTTCGTTCGCAGTTTGTCTATGAGAGATTTTCCATTTTCACAAAATATCATATCTTCTGCAATAAGTAAGCAATAAACAATATTAATATAAGCAACTATCAAATATTAAATAAAATTTTCTATAAATGACTTAAAGTGGACTTTTACCTTCTTTCTTTGAAGGTATCAAAAATAAGTTTAAAACATTTTCTGTTGAACAATGGCTCATATCTATACCGCTATGAGTTTGTAGTCGAGAACTTGAAAATACTTTATTATAAAATTCCTGTAAAAAATATAAAAATATAATAACTCTGAAAATGTAGGCACGCCTAAATAACAATTAAATTTTTAGTACATTGATGGAATTTAATAATCTGTCCATTTTTAATTTTATCTTCCCTCATATTTTAACAATTTTTATACACATGCATAGAATGAAAATATTGTCATATATATGTAATCAATTTAGAGTAAGAAAGCAACTGAAAGACAGATCTATAATCTTATTAATGAAAATTTAATGATAATGAAAGAGAAGTGCAATAAAAGAATTTAAGTTTAAGATAATCTAGTTAATTAAGAATAGGACAATGGAAAAAATAAAGATTTAAAAGATAGATTTTTTATTGCATTTCAGAAAATAAATTATATATTGAAAATTTGTAATATATATATGATAAAGCACCTTCATTTGGTCAATAATATTTGGCATAAAATCTTGTAATCCTACTTTGTTATGCAAAAATACAACATGTGGATAATATTCCACATAATCTTGATCCATAATAGTTGTTGAGGATGGTTTTAACATTTCTGCAGTTTGCAAAAATCTATATAAGAGAGAGAGAGAGAGAGAGAGAGAAATATAAAGATGTTACTTAATTCTTCATTATAACCTTATAACAAAATAAGATTGTTATTGTTATTGTCAAGAAATTAACAAATATTATTTATTATACAATTACCTCACCAAATTTGGATCAATAAACCAATCTTGCACAAATATAATAACATGGCATACTGAAAATAAGAATGCTGCAAATTGTAGAGATTGTAGCTCCAAATTAGAATCAGTATTCACAAAATCAGTTGTGGTTTTTTTTTGATCAAAGCATACAGAATAGTCAGTTACAAGTCCAGAAAGAATTGGTTGCGTATCCAGATATATTACCCTATTTTTACTTATAAAAAAATCTATTCCAGTAGTACAATTTGTTGCATCATTTTCGTAATGCGATAAATCCTGGACTTGAAAGATGTTGGATCTAATGATAATATAAAATTATCAAAATAATATTAATTTTGATAAAAATAGCTAAAGGTAACATAATACAAATAAATGCAATACATACGAGTAATGTGATGTTAATAGCGACATAATTGTTGATTTGCCAACACCTTGTGCACCTAGACACCCAACAACTAGAAAGTCTTGTTGGTCGCATAGATAATCTATTGGATTTTCACATAGTTGCATATTTTCGTCCATAAATTTGATACAAGTACTCATTTCAGGACATATTGAAAATATGCGAATTGCTAAAATATTTATTTTATATTATTTTTCTGTTATAATATATGTTTTCAAATTAAATTGAAGTATATTAATATATGTGTATTGTATACATAGCACATATATAAATCACTTTATATATTAATTACTTACAATCTGGTATTTTCATTGGTGCTCCTGAAGATATATCAGTATCCTTTCTAAAATTTTTTTGTTATATTATTGTGTACATTGTAACAAATGACAAAATATGTAAATTAATAATTATTGTAATTAATAAACAATATCGTACTTGTGCCCATTGCGTTGACTTGGAGAAACAGCTCTACTTTCTCCTTCTCGAGTTTTCAGTATAAATGTTGGCCGTTCTACGATCTTAATTAGAGTCCTATTTTCTCCGTCTTTAATTTCTGAATCTTTTGATGTCGACAACATCTTGATATATTTTCTTCTTCTTTTTTCTTATTTCGGCTTACTTTTAAGGCCAATTTCACCAAATCCGGTTAGATCATCGACATAGGGCCAATTTCACCAAGTTCGGTTAGGGCCAATTTCACCAAGGGCCAATTTCACCAAGTCCGGTTAGGGCCAATTTCACCAAGTCCGGTTAGGGCCAATTTCACCAAGTCCGGTTAGGGCCAATTTCACCAAGTCCGGTTAGGGCCAATTTCACCAAGTCCGGTTAGGGCCAATTTCACCAAGTCCGGTTAGGGCCAATTTCACCAAGTCCGGTTAGGGCCAATTTCACCAAGTCCGGTTAGGGCCAATTTCACCAAGTCCGGTTAGGGCCAATTTCACCAAGTCCGGTTAGGGCCAATTTCACCAAGTCCGGTTAGGGCCAATTTCACCAAGTCCGGTTAGGGCCAATTTCACCAAGTCCGGTTAGGGCCAATTTCACCAAGTCCGGTTAGGGCCAATTTCACCAAGTCCGGTTAGGGCCAATTTCACCAAGTCCGGTTAGGGCCAATTTCACCAAGTCCGGTTAGGGCCAATTTCACCAAGTCCGGTTAGGGCCAATTTCACCAAGTCCGGTTAGGGCCAATTTCACCAAGTCCGGTTAGGGCCAATTTCACCAAGTCCGGTTAGGGCCAATTTCACCAAGTCCGGTTAGGGCCAATTTCACCAAGTCCGGTTAGGGCCAATTTCACCAAGTCCGGTTAGGGCCAATTTCACCAAGTCCGGTTAGGGCCAATTTCACCAAGCTCGGTTAGATTAACCGACGGCAGAGAGAAGCATGAGAGCGGCCATCCCGGCGTTTTCCGTAC